CAATAGGCATACCTCCACGTGGTACACCCTGGGCAACGTATACTCATACGGCTTAAAAGTCTATAAACCTGCACTTGACTTCTGACCTCGACCTACCATGACTCCACTGTTTATCATATTTGACCACTTTCACAGTACTCATCTTACCTTTTCCCTGCCTTTGTGTCTGTCTGTCTGTGTGTCTCTTTTACATCTGAGAAACACTCTTCTGTTCCCCCCCACTCTCGATTTTTTTTCACTTTGATTTTCCTCCCCTCTGTGAAGCCCAAAGTCACCTAAAGGACTAATGATAACTATCATAAAAGCTGCCATTTCATATGAATGAATAATTTAAAAATCGACGATCATAATAATAGTAATTATAATTTTCTATAAAATGGAGACACGAAAACGCTTCAGATCAGATTTCTTTTGAAACTCGACTTGGGTATCTGCATTGTCAAAGGCCTTGATTTTTGTAATGACAACTCTTGACGCTCTTGTGTACATACCTAATAATCACCCATTAATCTCAAGGTGCGTCGAAACCACCCACGTGCTTGAAATTCTTAAGCCTGGATATTGTTTTACTTCCCAAACAATCAATAGAGCAGTTGGTTTACGAATTAATTATCTGTCACCAATACAGCTTGTTTTATACCATTGTATTCTTCTACTTTCCCCGTATTTTGAAACTGGAAGCAACTGAATATCAAACGAAATCCCTTGCTGTCTCTGTCTCACTGGAGAACAAAACTAATGAGGCGGCAGGACATTGTAGACGTTCAATGGAAGTTGACTTATGAAACACGAGGTGCCAGTTAATTAAATATTTATAGCCAATGGCTGGATTCATGACAGTTAGTTGACTTCAGCCTTCCCAGTGGGTAGGATCATCGAAGTGAAAAAAGTCGAGAGGGGGACAGAATAATGATTCACAGATGTAAAAGAGACAGAGAGACACACAAAGGTAGAGAAGTGGTCGAATATGATATACAGTGGGGTCATGGTAGTTTGAAGTGAGAATTCAACTGTTGGTGTATCAACGTTTTTGAGGTATGAGTAGACGTTGCCCAGGCTGCCCCATGTGGTTGTAAGTCTATTGCGCACCCCTTTATTAAATATAGAATAACCTAAATCAAGCACACAAACTATGATACCTTTGATACCTTGACACTACTCTCTGTCTCCACACAATGAAGGCCTTAATCAGAAGAGAATTCCAGACCTCAAGGTGTAACGAACTAAAAGCTCGAACAAAGGAGAAACAGTGAACAGTGGCACTCTTCGACATATCCGACTGGCCAGGAATCGAAGCCGTTGCTGAGTTTAGACTACGTAACGGACACGATTGCTTGGCAAAACACCTTCACAGATTGGGATTATACACTCAACCCACATGCCCTCTATGTAACCTACAGGAGGAAATGGAGAAGACCCACCTGATTCGATGTCCAGCCCTAAAGACAACGACGGAAAGCCAGAGATACTGGGAAGCAAGAAGACGGCTAATGAACTGCTATTAATTAACTGCTATAAATGTACCCCCCACCCTTGGGGGAACCTGAAGTCAAAGTTTAAGGGCTAATGATAATTATCATAATGCCTGCCATTTGAAACAAATATACCTTGACACTACTCTCTGTCTCCCCATTGGTTCCTTCTCTATTGTCCATTATGAGATTTCAGTTTCTTCCTTTAAAAAGGAACTGGAGTTATCGCATAATACTTCGAGTGTCGGCACAACTTAGTTTCCCGTTCAGTTCTCGCACATGATCCCTCTTTTTGAAACGCCAAAGAAAAAGTTATTTCCATTCACTTTTGTTCCACGTCATTAGCTGAGGCCTTAAATGTGCCCAAAAGTGAGATAGGGGAAAAGATGTCTTGGAAATTTTATTTTATTCAAAATCATTGGCATAGGATTTGCGGACACGTTGATAGTGTGGGTCATCAAATATGAATTTCTCCTGGTTCAAAGCTTTGCCTTTCCGTATCAGCACTTTTGGAGTAGACTATGTCATTAGTGACTTGTTTCTAGTTTCACTTTTATGACGAGGGGTGCGCAATAGACTTACCTCCACGTGGTGCGCCCTGGGCAACGTATACTTATACGACAAAAAATTCCATTGATCGGCAGTTGACTTCTGACTTCAAACTACTATGGCCCGACTATTTGCCATATTCGACCCCTTCCTCAGTACTCATCTTACCTTTTTATGCCTTTATGTCTGTCTGTCTCTTTTACATCTGTGACTCACTCTTCTGCTCCCCCTCTCGACTTTTTGTCACTTTGTTGTTCCTTCTCCTCTCTGTGAATCCCCGAAGTCAGCTCCGGGGCTAATGATAACTATCAAAACGCCTGCCATTTGATATCCTAATGATAACTATCAAAACGCCTGCCATTTGATATATTGTTCATATTTGAGTTCTGATCCTATTCTCCCCTTTTTTTCAGGATATCGCTATGGTGCTACGATGGTGCCCTTTACAAAGGAAGATAAGGATAAGCTAAAATTGGAGGCCACAAAGTGCTTATCTATAATTGGATTTACGAAAGCACAAAATGTACGTTAACTACCTTTTTTGTAATACTTTATTCGATGAAAAGTGTTTCCTCGTGTAGTTTGAATAAAATTTTGCTTAGATGAATGACTATGTAACAGCAGTAATTATATAAAAGCTGCGTCTTGCTTTAATAGAAGGTGGAATATTGTTATTGATATTGTTATTTGAAGTTAAAGTGATTGGGGACTATTTTGGTGGATTCAATTCACAATCCATTCTTTGGAAAAGTAGACAGGAATTTTCAGTCACTTTCTCTTCAAAGTTTTTGTTGCGTAGCGGTCGAAGTTTAACACCTGTCATTGACAAAGAACCATATACCCATTGGTAGCGGAGTGTTCTGGTGAATTAGAATAAACCGGAGTTTGAATGCGGGTTCCTCATAAATGGATCTTACTCTGTGGCCCTGTTTGCTCTTACCATCCAACTACTAGCGTTAAATAAGCAGGAAATAGTAGCCTAACTACGAAATTCCGACAACGGGTCTCCGTTAGCAATAAGAGTGGACCAAATGCAAAAAAACCCAAACCAAACACAATCCATTCCCAAAAATCTTTTGTTATTTCGACTTTTATTTCTCCCTCTACTCAATGTCCTTCCCTTAACGCGTATTTTTTGCTTTTATTTTCCTTTTTATACGGATGCTTTCCCGTAATGACAATAAAGGTGGCTTCAATCGATTCTAGGTGTGAATTTGGTTTATTTGTTGATCGGTCTTCTTTCCTTTAACAGTACCTATACAAAAACGCTAATTTGTAGGGAAATACCTTTTGTCATGTTTTGTAAAGTGGCCCATTATTTTCGAGGTGCTTCTCATAAGCATGCTTCTGATCACTCAGATAAAAGTTGTCCCGTAGTTGCAGTGAAGTCACGTAAAAGCTGCTATCAATGATTCATTTTCACGCTACGGTCTAAGGTAGGACTCACATTTATGCACTGATGAGCAGGTTCAAGCGATTAGCAGCTTAAGGCTTGTTCTCACGTGTTTTGAGCTGTATTTATTATATCTTGTGCTTTTCTTGTATAGCATCAATGAGTACCCTCTGAACTTTGCTCTAAATATTATTTATAATTTTTAGATTACACCCAATATCTATGTCGGCAGTACGGTAATGCGGTTCGTTGCTGACTCTCCAAGCATTGATGAAAATTCCCAAGATTGTGTAAATTTTTGTATTTTCTACTTATATCATTTGAGTAGAAAGGTGATTCTTCAACAACTGCTGTCGCGGCATTATCTCAAGCCCTAATTGAAATGGATTCCGTGGCGTTGGTAAGGAAGGTCTATTCGCGAGTTTCTCATCCTACTCTTGGGGTCCTTATACCCACGTAAGCCTTTTATAAAGTTATATATTGATCGCTGACTATTGATTTATTCGTTTAAGACAAATGGTTTTGATGTTCGTTCTCACGAACTTCTTAAATAAACAAAATTTATTCTATTAAAGCATTGCGAATGTGCACACGCTCAATTTACCGGAGCAAGAGTAGAATATATACTGAAATTTTCCAATAAGAAATATCTTCAGATTGTTATTTACTCATCAGTTAGCATATTTTATTTTCAGATTCGATAAACATGGCGCTGGACTAATCTATCATGACTTGGCATTCCGTGAAGATATTCGAACATTTACATTCCCAAGTCTCCCTTTATTCGAGTCCTATAAAGAGGAAGAAGTTGACATTAAAGTTGATTTGAAACAATCATCCTCAAAGATGGAATCCAGGTGGAGACCTAATGAAGAACAGGCTGAAGCTATGGACTCTTTCGTTGATGCTATGATGCTTTCAGAGAACCTGGATGATTCAGGAATAGGGTAAGGCTTAATTCATCAGAGATCTAATTTTTTGAATACTAAT